ATAGATAGATAGATAGATAGATAGATAGATAGATATTGCTTTCTATAGCTGGCCCAACACCATTTTTCTGTAGTCTTTGAGTACTACTTGTGTTATCACAAGTTCTCAGCTAGTGTTACCTGCAGGTGGCTGACAATGCAGTACTCCTGAGGCTCTTCTAGGCCACATGTTGATGTAGCGCTCAGGTTCTGGGCCCTCCCAATGAGCAGGTTTCCTGTGGCTGGGTAACAGCTTCCCTCCAAACAGCCATGGTATACGTCAGGCTCTTCTGTGCCCTGAACATCAGCTATCTGGCCTGGTCAAAGAACAAAGAAACAACAAATCAGCTCCACCCAGGCCATTTTAAGAACTGACAAAGTACTTTGGCATCAGGAAAAAAAATAAGATCCCTTCCCAAAAGAACAGTACATTACGTCACCTTCCCCACAAAGAAACCTATTCATGATTAGTAATAGTGCCAACTAGGTAGATGTCTCCAACCTGGTATATCCAAAAAGCATCTCAGAAAGCAGAGGTGAAAACAAGGTAGTTATTGTTCCTGAAAGAACATATAATGGCTAGGTTTGCATGTCACATAAACCCAGTTACTCACAAGAATTTTAACAGATTGCAAATACACTGTATTTGATTGTTCCTGCTTGGCTCTTCCTGCCAGAGACTAAGCCCTCACCCCAAAAAGGTCAACAAGCAGAAATCAAGAATAAGCCATGGTAAGGGTTCCCATATCCCAGCTATCCCATACCAGTAATCATAACCAAAATTTGAGCTTCAAGGCTTGTTTAGCAATTGATCTTGGTTAGACTGGCCAACTAGGAACAATTGCTCCAGAACACTTTTCATTCTGCCTTGCCATGAAATACAAATGTGCTGTTGTGAAATCCTAGAACTAAATGCCAGTTCAGCTCATGAGTTACCATTAGGATCCAGGGAAGAAAGCAGAGCATGAATTAAGTAGCCTACTGATTCTGGGACTGACTCACAGTAAAATGTTTTTTAGTTCTAGAGGGAATAAAATGAAAAATAAAATCTTATTTTGTATTCCCTTACCGAAGGAAAAGCTAATAACTGTGAATTTTCTCTCTATATACACTAATGATCTACTATGCACATATTGAAAATTAAAATAATAAAAAAAACCCACATTTGGGAATTTTAACTCCCCCAATATCTCATCTGCAAATGCTTGTTTTTGGCGACGGAGGGGGTCAAGCTACGTGGAGAATAATACTCATTCTCTGGGGGTACTTTCCACATATTATGTGTTCTTGCAATGAATTCTAATCTTCAACTCCCTTGAAATCTAATGTCCATCATGGAACTGCATGATTAGAATCCTAAGAACCACCAATTGGGAGTGAAGCAGGAGACAGAACACCTCTCTGAGGACCACGTGTACCTATTTCATCACCTTTCCATGTTGCCCGGTTTTGTGCCACCCATTGTGCCATCTGTCCTACCTATGATTAAAAAGTAGTACAAATGTTGGTGGTTGCCACTGTGAGAAAAATGAATCTTTGGGTGAAAAAGACAAGTTTTTAGAGGCCTCAGATGAATG